AATGACGGAAAGGACTCACTTTTCCTGGACAATCTCTCTGTAGGTTTTGATGCTTTTCCTCCGTTCCCGTGCCCCGTCCTCTCCGGCCAGCAGCTGCTCCATCTTTTTCCTTTCCTCCTCTTTCTTGATGAGGTCCTGAGAGGCGCTTCTTCGGCGGCTCTTCCAGCGAGCCAGGTCCTGGGGAGAGAGAGAGGGGCGTCCCTCAGGCCCCACGCAGCTCCGCGCCTGCCCTTCCGAGTTGGGGAGCCTGGATACGGCCCGGGCGAGCCTACAGAAGGCAACGCGAGTCCGCTCGGGACAGAACCGCCTCCACGGCAGGGCGCGTCCGGCCTCCCTCCGGCCTCACGTCCCCCAGCCTCCCTCTGGGCTCATGCCCCCCAGCCTCCCTCCAAGGCAGGGCACGTCCGGCCTCCCTCTGGCCTCACAACCTGGCCTCCCTCTGGCCTCACGTCCCCCCGGCCTCCCTCCGGCCTCACGCTCCCCTGGCCTCAGGCCCCGGCCTCCCTCCAGCCTCACACCCCCCGGCCTCCCTCCGGGCTCATGCCCCCCAGCCTCCCTCAGGACCCATGCCCCCCGGCCTCACACCCCAGGCCTCCCTCAGGACTCACGCCCCTGGCCTCCCTCCAGCCTCACACCCCCCAGCCTCCCTCCGGGCTCATGCCCCCCAGCCTCCCTCGGGACCCCATGCTCCCCGGCCTCACGCCCCCCGGCCTCCCTCAGGACTCACGCCCCTGGCCTCCCTCCGGCCTCACGCCCTCCGGCCTCACGCCCCCGCAGCCTCCCTCCAGACTCACGCCCCTGGCCTCCCTCCGGCCTCACACCCCCCGGCCTCCCTCAGGACTCACGCCCCGGCCTCCCTCAGGACTCACGCCCCTGGCCTCCCTCCGGCCTCATGCCCCCCGGCCTCCCTCTGGCCTCACACCCCCGGCCTCCCTCAGGACTCACGCCCCTGGCCTCCCTCTGGCCTCACACCCCCGGCCTCCCTCAGGACTCACGCCCCTGGCCTCCCTCTGGCCTCACACCCCCGGCCTCCCTCAGTACTCACGCCCCCGGCCTCCCTCAGGACTCACGCGCGCCCGGGCCGCGCTCGCGCGGAGCGCACGTGGCCCGCGCGGGTGAGCGCCCCCTCCCCGGCCGTGCGAGCCGTGGGCGCGCTGGGCCTCCGGGCCTCACGAGGCCCCGCGCGGCTGGTCCTCGAGGAGGCGTGACGCCCCGGGCCTCCCTCCGGCCTCGCTTGCGTCCTCGGGACTCACGTTGCTGCAGCGAGGCGGCTCGTCCTACCGTCGCGGGCAGCTGGCTGGTGGGAGCTGGCGAAGAGGCTGCTCCTGGGCGGGTGTAGAGCGCGGCCGGCTGTGCGGCTGCAGAGCCGGCGGGAGCCGGGCGTCCGTCGGCGGTGGCATGTCGGCCAGGCTCGGGCTCCTGCGGGCGGGGAGCGGGCGGGAGCCTCGGTCAGCGTCTGTGGGCTCCGCACCCGGGGGCGACAGCGGCCGCGCGTGCGCAGTGGGTCCCATCGGCCACCAGGGGCGCTGCGGGCCGGAAATGCTTCCCCCTTCCGGGCGCTAGAGCAGCCACGCGTGCGCAGTGGGTCCCAATCCGGCCACGAGGGGGCGCTGCTGGGCCAGAAATGCTGCACCCTGCAGGGTGCTAAAGCAGCGGCGCGTGCGCAGTCGGTTCTGAGCCTGCCGTGAGGGACGCAGCTGGGCTGACAACCCTCCCCACTTCCTGGCGCTAGAGCAGCCGCGCATGCCCAGTTGGTCGGTCATGACCCTGCCACAAGGGGACGCTGCTGGGCTGGGAACCCTTCCCACTTCCGGGCACTAGAGCAGCCACGCACGCGCAGTCGGGCCCGACCCTGCAGCGAGGGGGCGCTGCGGGGCCGGGAACACCGCCCCCTTGCGGGTGCCAGAGCAGCCGCGCATGCGCAGTGGGTCCCGCCCCTGCAGAATGGTGGCACAGCAGGGCCGGAAATGTTTCCCACTTCCGGGCGCTAGAGCAGCTGCGCGTGCGCAGTTGGGCCCGACCCTGCCGCATGGTGGCACTGCAGGGCCCGGAACACCGCCCCCTGCCGGGTGCTGGAGCAGCCGCGCATGCGCAGTGGGCCCGACCCCCCAGTGGGGACACACCAACCCCCACCTATTCCTGCCGCCCCAGAGGCCAACGGTGGCATCTTTGTCTTCAGCGATGCCCCCAAATAGGGCTCCCATCACTTGCATGCAGGCGCCAGAACATGCATGCAGAGGAGCCAGGAGAGGGCGTGGGAAGGCCCGGCTTCCCTCACTTGCAAATGTGTGATAGATACACGAACAAACAGATAAAGCGGGACGCGTGCACAGTGCCACAGGGGGACCATCTGGGGACGGAGGGCAGCGCTTCCCGAGCGAGGGAAACCTGACTGCGGCAGAGGCTGCTCCGTGCAGAGAGCTGCTGACCCGCCTCCTGCCTGGGCGCAGGTCGTTTTTCCAACCTCGAGGAAATTATCCTTTGGCTTTGAGCTGGGCGCCCACTTTCTGTATTTTATTTTCCAGGGTTTGCATGCATCCAGCAACTACCGTGTCTCCCCGGAAATAAGACCTACCTGCAAAACAAGCTCTTGCAGGATTTGTAAGCATGTGCGCTTACATGGAAGCCCTACCCCGAAAATCAGCCCTAGTGACGGGCGTGGCTGTGCAGCACATCTGCACGACCCATGCGTGTCGTCGCGGAGCGGGAAAGAACACGAGCAGCCCTTCTCATCCGCCCCGTGAGAGCTCTAGTGCTCCACAGGAGAGATCGGGGCCAGTGGTTCTAAAGGAAACAGAGTCGCAAGACATTCAGGGTGGTACTCGGGGTTTGGAGAGTGATGATGATGTTCCAGAAGAAGACGACTTCACTCTATTTGAATCAATGTAGATGGTTGTACCGTACTAAAAAAAAAATAAATAACACATCCCCGGAGAATAAGCCCTAGGGTGTCTTCTTGAGGAAAAATAAATGTTAAGACCCTGTCTTATTTTCAGGGAAACACGGTACTAATTGGAGATGTGTATGTGCTACGTGGCAATTTATTTTCATTGCTTTTGAAGATGCCTGTCATTGGCAGCTCAGTCAATGGCATCGTGGCAGTTTATAATCTTTGCTAAGATCTTAGAAGGCATAAACGTCTCTGGAGCTGGGACCCTCTTATAATTGCATTAAGTAGTTGGTAGATTGTGGGAGAGAAAGGAGGCCCCTTCTCATTGACTCTGCCATCTTTAATTTCCAAAGGGCAGAATTTTGGTGTAAGCCACAAATTTTGGGTGGCCCTAGATCCGGATCTTCTCCTGGGAGCCCAGGAAGAAAATGGCGGCCTTCTACGGGATTTGGGATTTGCTTATCTCACTCAGTGGGCATAAAGAAAACAGGACAGGCCTTCAGAATTATTAATGCTTCCTCTGTCTTCCTGTGATGCTCTTCCTGCCTCAGCCCACCTGTGCCCAAAAGCTGGTTTAGTTAAATAAAAAGCGAAACTCTTGTTTGCCCTTTCATGTACCAGGAAGTACAGGTTGAGCATCTAATTTAAAAATCTAAAATCCAAAAGGCTCCAAAATCACTCTTGAGCACCAACGTGACCCCACAGTGGAGAATTCCACAGGTGATCTCATGTTATGGGGATTGCAGCCGAAATGTTGTTTTATGCACAAAATTATTAAAAACATCTTATAAAATTACCTGCAGGCTATGTATGTGTATGAGGTATATGTGAAACATAAATGAATTTCATGTTTAGACTTGGGTCTCATTCCCAAAATATCTCATGTATATGCAAACATTCCCCAATCCAAAAACAGTTCAAAATCTGAATCACTTCTCCTCCCAAGCATTTCACTTATATGATACTCAACTGGTGCTATATTTTCCCAGAGTTCCAAGGTTTTATTTTATTATATTTTTTTAAATTAAGAAATATCAGCAGACTGGCCAAAAAAAAAATAACAAAAATGTAAGTAATATCTTTATGCCATGTAGGTCGGGAAAAAAAAAAAAAACTGAGAAAGTTTAGAATCAACAACACTAGATAGGAAATGGGCTGGGTCACCGTTAGAAGATGTTCCCCGGTCAGAGGTTGGACTCGAACTCCCAGATGAAGAAGTGTCTGTCTGGGGGTGGGGGAGGGGGATCCTGGGGAAACCAGGCTTCCAGTCAATTACCGTGTCTCCTCAAAAATAAGAATGAAACAAGCCCCAGCAGGATGTCTAAGCATGTGTGCCATAGAAGCCCCACCCCGAAAATCAGCCCTAGTGATGGGCGTGGCTGCGCAGCGCATCTGCACAACCCATGCGTGTCGTCGAGGAGCGGGAAAGAACACGAGCAGCCCTCCTCATCCGCCCCGTGAGAGCTCTAGTGCTCCACAGGAGAGATCAGGGCCAGTGGTTCTAAAGGAAACAGAGTCGCAAGACATTCAGGATGGGATTCGGGGTTTGAAGAGTGAGGATGATATTCCAGAAGAAGACGACTTCACTCTATTTGAATCAATGGAGATGGTTGTACCGTACTCAAAAAAAATAACACATCCCCTGAGAATAAGCCCTGGGGTGTCTTCTTGGGGAAAAATAAATATAAGACCCTGTCTTATTTTCGGGGAGACATGGTAATGTGACCTGGACTAACCCTGTACTTCTCAGTGCTTGACTCCAGTGTCTCTGGGCTGCTGGGAGAAGGGCCCCTGGCTGCAGAATCCAGGGGTGGCTCTTGGGCGTGGTTTGGCATCTTTGAGGGCCAGGCTCAAGTTACCTTTGGGGAGCCTAAAAATAGTTTCTGGGCCAAGTCTGAGGTAAGGGAACTCAGAATTAAATGGCCTGTGGCTCTCCCAAGGTACAGACTTCCTTGGTGGGGAAAGTGTCCGGAGAGAAAGAACATGCAAGCGAGGAAAAGGGCAAGAAGAAGGTGGAATTAAATCTACGGAAACATTCTCGGCTGGCCAGGAGGTAGAATTTCTCCGTCTGCCCCTGACCTATATTCCCCTTAAAGAGTACAGCTTTTTTTTTTTGATTGGGTTCTATTTTAAGAGTGTGTCAGATTATTAATAAATATAATCTGTAGCAATCATTGCCCTTAAAGATTTTGGAAAAGGGAGATTATTAAGGGAGGAAACTAAAAATAGTATAAATGTCTACTTAGAAAATAAATTCCCGATAGCAACTTTTCATTTTGTCCCTCGCACAGTTTCACATAAACTGTGCCTGTCTACTCCAAGCAGGAAATTCGGCACTTCGGATATTCTCAGATAAGAGCTCTGGAAAAGAAGCTCCTATTACTCTTCTTGGTCAATTGGGCTGCTCTGTGTAAATTTAGAGAGGAAAGTTCCCATTCTGGCCCCTTTAAAAAAAAAATCATTACATTTTCCTGTGGGTGAGGTTTTGTGTCCAGGGACAGGCAAAACTCAAAAGCCCTTTCATGTAGCTTCCTTTCTATCACCTGTTAGGGTTTCCCGGAGAACTATTTTAGGCAAATTGCACAGCAGCTTTGCATTGATGAAGAATAAATCCCTTCTTTCGAAATGTTTTCGCTCACCAGATCAAAGTGGTGCTCTGCCTACCCATCTTATAAAATCTTTCCTTCAGTGCACGTGAGATATGGCCACCGCAGGTTTTAAAAGGAATAACCACGGCTCAATTTCGCAGACTGCTCAACCCTGCAGTCAGTCAAGCTCAGGCTGAAGTTGCCTTTGAGACATCCACGTTCTGCGTGAAAGGCCACTAACCCATCGCAGCTCGCCCCTGCGGAACTGAGCACTGGAGTCAGAGTCCATGCTCAGCTGCTGACATCTAATAAACACGGAAAACATGCAATTTGAAAACACTTAGATTTTTTTTTTTGTCTAATCTCTTTGTCATCAGTGGAAATGATATTTGTGTGCGCTGTGTTTCCCCGAAAATAAGACCTCCCCATAAAATGAGCCCTAGCAGGATTTCTGAGCACGTGCGCAATAGAAGCCCTACCCCAAAAATCAGCCCTAGTGATGGGCGTGGCTGCGCAGCGCATCTGCACAACCCAAGCATGTCGTCGCAGAGCTGGAAAGAACACGAGCAGCCCTTCTCATCCGCCCCGTGAGAGCTCCAGTGCTCCACAGGAGAGATCGGGGCCAGTGGTTCTAAAGGAAACAGAGTCGCAAGACACTCAGGATGGGATTCGGGGTTTGGAGAGTGAGGATGATGTTCCAGAAGAAGACGACTTCACTCTATTTGAATCGATGTAGATGGTTGTACCGTACTTAAAAAAAAATAACACATCCCCTGAGAATAAGCCCTGGGGTGTCTTCTTGGGGAAAAATAAATATAAGACCCTGTCGTATTTTCTGGGAAACACGGTACTACACCCTTATTTAAATTCCTCACTCTGTGGCTTGAAACCGTGGCTTGGGCAAGGACAGGCGGAGAGCGAGCCGATGACTCGTCCTTGGA